AGAGTGCGGATAGTCGGTATATATTGAGTGGATACATACAATATCTTTCTTTCATAGCCTGGCTTACTAAACCAATTTTTTTTAATAAAAAGAACTTTACTGATAACTTTTTCCTAAGGTAGCTTGGAGCCGTTGATGCAGGCTCGAGTCATAAAAATCTGCCTGCTCCCCTGTGGCCTGCTTAATTCCTACTAATCCATGGAAGGGGATGAAATATTGAAAATTAACCCCCTGATTACTTTAGCTGATCATAGAACAGTCCTACAAATGGTTTCTGGGTTGATTTCAGGTTTTAGTCATGTAGTAAGGTAGCCAAGACTGTGTTGTTGAATCGTTGTTCTTTACTGACTGTGTAAGAATTATACTAATAAGACTTAACTCACTTGTTCACTAAATAACATCATGTACTTCGGATTGACTTTGGAAAATCTACACATACTGGAGGACAGATAAGGTGACTTAGATAAATAATCAAATTACATCCGATAAGGTATTACAGAATGGTGTACATGTTACAGTAAAGATTTTGGACAAGAGCTTGTGTAATTTAAACACTATTGATAGAAGTGGTCAGCAGGGGGAGCAAGAGGAGTTTTTATGTGACTCTTTTTTTTTTTTTTTAATTTTTATGTTCATGAACTCAAAAACAAGGGATGAATAAAAGCCAGGATGAACTTCCTTGTGAACTTGAGAACCAGTTTATATTGCGTCTGCCTCCGGTAAGAAACCTTTGTATCTCAGGGCAGATATCTTCAGTGTGTAAGTATAGTTCTGCCTGGATTCTGTAATCTTTCTATTTCAATAGGCCATAAAAACTTTGAACATTTGTTTCTAAGGAATCATGTCCTATTAAGCAGTCCTATCCAAATGTGTACTCAGCAGCATTTCTTTCCTCCTGTACATGCCACCTTTCATTGTGGGTTGATTTTTCTGCAAAAAAATTGTGACAGCAGTGGATCCGGTCAATTATCACTGGACAGCTAAGATAAGACTCTTCTGAAATCCTTTCTGTCATCTCAGAAGTGGGCAGTGAGGACCAGTACTGTGTCTCCTGCAAATTCATCACTATGTAAGGCTTTTGAAGCTCATCTCAATGTTGTGTGTGAATTCTTCTCCTGCTGATACCTGTATTCAAGCATCACTTAGCCTAGGAAACTATATTAAGGATAGGCTTCAGAAAGCTATTTCCGTAATTAGGGTTAATTAATATATCCAGTAAATTGCAGCTAAGCCTTTCCTTAGCAACTACAACTGAGGGGTAGCAGTGAGAGGCAGAGATGTAGAGCAGAGAAAAGACATTAACTGTAGCTACTAAAAGACGAAGATGCGAGTCAAGTCAGCCTCTTCCAGATTTGACTTATACAATGCATAGTATCTCATGGTATATGCATTGTTATTAATGTTGTAGGTATAAGATTTTATTTAAGGGAAGACTTTCTTTGATATATCCAATCTATTTGCTGCAAGTAGACGATCCTTCTGATTTTTTTTAAAGAGGTTTTCGCTATGGGGCATGTGCGCTTGCCAGACAGACAGAGACAGAGAAACAGAAAGCGAGAAATCACCCCCTAGGGGGGATGGCCACGCCGCAATCCCTTCTCCTCCATTCTCCTCTTGGGATCTTGGGCACGCACGCACACACGACCGGCATGAGTTTTAAGCCACCGGGTCTGGGACGTGAACCGTGGTCAACTATGTGGGAATCCAGCAACATAGCCATTACACTAACTGCTGGTCCCAATCCTTCTGATTTTTAAACTTACCTCTTTTTTAGGAACATGCTTCTACTGTCAGGAAAATACTGCATTCTGGAAGTGCTGACATGAAGGATAAACTGAAAATTGATTTATCTGGTAAGTAGTTAATGTCCACTCACTATACATTAAATAATAATATATTAAGAAATTACTGTGTGCCAGGCACTGTACTATTGGATCACTGGAAAAATCATGATGTATTTTCTGTGTTTTTCTATGTAAGAATGTGTCATGACTTTTCCAGTAATCCAGTAGAAACTAAGGATGTGAAAAAAATAGAATTTATTCCTGCCCTGCTGGACTTATATTTAGAGAGGTTTAATTTTCTCATATCTCTTATTTTTAGAGAAAAAGAAGTAGGAATTATGCAACTTAAGGGGAATAATTACCATAGTGTGTATAAGCAATTTAGGAGTCAAATGTGGGATTTTGATATTGCTAATAGTCTCCTATGTACAAGCTTTATGATTTCTGAATATCCAAGGCAATGATACATAAATATACTGTCCTTTATTTACAAAAGTGATATATCTTTCTTTCTTTCTTTTAAATAATATTTATAATATTAAAAGGACCCAGAAAAGACACTTCTCAAAAGAAGGCCTACAAATGGCCACCAGGTCCTGAAAACAAACAAACAAACAATCATTAGAGAAATGCAAATTAAAGGCACAATGAGATATCACCTCACACTTGTTAGAATGGCTTTTCTCAAAAAGAAGAAAGAAAACAAGTGTTGGTGGAGGTGTGGAGAAAAATGAAATAGCGTACACTGTTGGTGGGAATGTAAATTGATATAATTATTATATCAATGGCATATGGTATGGGGGTTCCTTAAAAAACTAAAAATATAACCAGTATATGATCTAGCAATCATACTACTATATCTATCTACCTACCTACCTTCCTTTATGTCTATCATTTATCTATCTCTATCTATACATATATCCAAAGAAAAGGAAATCAGAGATATATGCACTCCCATATTTCTTATAGCACCCTTTACAATAGTTAAGACAAGGAATCAACCTGGTGAACTGGTGCAAGGATTCAAAAATGTAGGATATATACATGATATAATATTCAACTATAAAGTTGAAATCCAGTTATTTCAGGCAACATGGATGAACCCCGGGGAGTGTAATAATTGTAATAAGTGCATTAAACTAGGCACTAAAAGACAAATACTGTATGTTCTTACTCAACAGAAGCTCAAAGATTTGGTTGCATGAAAGTGGATAATATTACAGTGTTTTCCAAAAGTAAGAAGGGGAAAAGAGATGGGGGAAACTTAACAGACACAAGAGTACAGGTATACTAGATAATGGAATGAGTTCTAGAGTGCTATAGCATAGTACCAACAGTAGTTAGTGACAATACGTCAAAATATCAATAGTTAGAACAGTGGATTTCAAATGCGCCTAAAAGTAATGAACGTTTCAGGTAGGTGGATGTGTTTATTGCCCTGATGTGATGAATACACAATGTGTTTTGAGAAACCACATTGTACCCCATAATTATATACAACTATTATATGTAAATTAGAAATATAATAATATAAATAAATAAATAATATGCCCCAGCAGCAGTGGTGCAAACAGTAGGGAGCACATGCATTGTAGCTGAGGCTGCATGGAGAGTCCAGGTTCTGTTCCCAGTCCAACCTAAATAGGATGCATGCCTCCGCTCCTAGCTAAGTGGGAGGGTAGGACAGGAGAATTGTGATGTGGAAAATGCTGTCAAAAATCTTTCTTGCCCTCCTTCTCACCCCTCCTCCCTCCTACGTACTCTCTTTCATAAAAAAAAAGTAATACACGTTCACGGTTAGAAAATTTACATTAAACAGTGAAGTTCAGGAGGAGAAATGAAACTTTCTTCCTTCACTGTGCCCCACCCTTAATGCCAAAGATAACTAATATTAACTGTTTCTTCTTGTGCTGCTTTATGGACAAAACTTTTATTCATACACCAGAATTTGAATAATCTTTCTGTGTATTTTTAAAGTTTATTCATGTGAAAAGGATCATGTGAAAACATGGATCTTTGTTTTTCTTTTTTCATTTAATATTACAAGAATATACCTGAATCCTTTTGTGTCAAGACATTCTTTTTTTTTTTTTTTTTGGAGAAGTTTTTGCTATAGGGCACGTGTGCTCACCAGAAAGACAGAGAGAGACAGAGAGATAGAAAGTGAGGAATCACCCCCCCAGGGGGGATGACCACACCTCAATCTCTTCTCCTCCATTCTCCTCTCGGAATCTTGGGCACGCACACACATGCGCCCGGTGTGAGTTTAAGCCACCTGGTCTGGGACTCGAACTGTGGTCGACTATGTGGGACTCCAGCAACATAGCCATTACACTAACTGCTGGTCCCAAAAGACATTCATGTTTGAGATTCCTGAACAGGATTCAGAGTTTGGTATATGGCTGTTGTATAGACTTTTCTTTGTGAAGTTAACTAGGAATTTGAACTTGAGATTGATTAGCACCATTCTAGGATCAGTTCTTTCCTCAGCTAACCCTTTGAAAACACACATGTACAATAACATGATTAAATGCTTCTGAAAAAAAGGATGGGCTTACGTGAATAGAATTTGCCTTTCCAGATAATGAAACATCTACTGCTTCACCCATATTTAGCTCACAACCATTAACAAGAAATTTAGCTACTTTTGAATGAGTAACATAAACAGGGAGAAAAAGAACTCCATATACTCTTTATTTTTTGCTGGGGAATTACCATTTGTGTACACAATTATAGCATTTTGAGAAATAGTGGGTTTCACTGAAAGACTAGTCTGTCCCACATAAGTCTTCATTATTTAAACCCTAGGAGGCTTAAGAATTCATTGGGAAGATGTCGACTTTAATTTTCTTTACTTCTCTTCAGCTGATAAGCGCCGTGCAGTTGTTGAGGTAGACAATGTCTCTCTCTCTGCTAAGCTGGGTGATCTGCCTTGTGTTATTGGAAGCCTGAAAACACTTGATAAAAAAACCTTTTATAAAACAGCAGATATCTCCCAGGTATGGACTAATTTTCTAAATCTACAAGCATTCACATCCTTCAAAGAATCCCTTTTTCCCTCCCTTTTTTCTTTCTTTCTTTCAGTATGTCTTTCCCCTTGGTGAATGGCTGCTTTCCCTTTCTTATTTCTAAATTAGTTCCAAAAGGATAAAATGTCATGTTCTGGTTTTGTGTTTGATCCCTAACTTTTCACTACTTCATGTTATACAAATAGCTGAAGCCCCTTGTTTGCCACTTATAGTGGCTTTTTTTTTTCTTTTTTTGGAGAGGTTTTTGCTATAGGGCGCGTGCGCTCACCAGACAGACAGACAGAGACAGAGAGATAGAAAGCGAAAAAACAGCCCCCAGGGGAGATGGCCACGCCGCAGTCCCTTCTCCTCCATTCTCTTCTTGGGATCTTGGGCACGCACACACACATGCCCGGCGTGAGTTTTAAGCCACCCGGTCCGGGATGCGAACCACGGTTGACTACATGGGAGTCCAGTGACATAGCCATTATGGTAACTGCTGGTCCCTATAGTGGCTTTCTTTAATTGAAAAATATTAGCAGCTAGTTTTCTTCAGAACTTTCTGCTACAGCAGGATGCTGTTAACTCTAGAGGTTTAAATTGGTTTTTATCATCTTGGCTGTTTATTCCCTCTAAGTCAAAATGCTAAATTGTATCTGTTTTTCTTTTATCTTTTTCTTTTTTTTTTTTTAAGAGAGGTTTTTGCTATAGGGTGCGTGAGCTCAGAAAGACAGACAGAAATCAAGAAATCACCCACCCCCAGGGGGAATGGCCACGCTGCAGTCCCTTCTCCTCCTATCTCCTCTTGGGATCTTGGGCACGCACACACACGCGCCTGGCATGAGTTTAAGCCACCAGGTCTGGGTCTCAAACCACGGTCGACTATGTAGGAGTCTAGCAACATAGACATTACGCCAACTGCTGGTCCCTGTATTTTTTTTTTTCCTGTATCTGTTTTTAACATAGTCCTTTTGCAGTGGTGAGCACTGTAGATAAAACATACACACACACAGAAGGAGTCCATATGCACTGCTGCTGAGATGGAGGGAAAGGGAGAAAACATGGATGTATATTACACAATACTTGACTTTATGGAAATGTCAAATATCAGTCTCTTCTGTGCTCTAAGATTCTGGTGGGAAGAATAGTCATGATTCATTACCAACCCAGGATTTGTGGCCACAGTCAAGCTCTCTGTTTTTGTTAAATGCAGATGCTTGTATGCACTGCTGCCAAACCTCACCAGTCTTCTCTGGAAGAACCAGTTACTTCTACTGCTCATGATGATGAAAAGAAGAAAGAGAAAAGCTATACCTGGAAGCATGGCAGTAAGTCACCAATCCCTGGCTCATTCTAGCTGACTAATTTGTCTGCAGAATCCTGCTTCCTTGTGAACCAGGGACCTCTTAATGCACTTGTGTGTTGTTTCATTAGGCTGTCAGACAATCTTTTGTTTTAAAAAATGTGGTTTTTATTATTCATGATACAATGCATGCATGTACGTGCAAGAGAGAAAGAGAGGAATACTCTCCACGGAGTCCGGTCATACTGTGATCCCCTTCCTCCAGTCTTCCAGCCTGTAAATCCTGGACACTTGCATTTATTTGATCAGATTTATTAAGTTCAGATAAATATGTGACAACCATCAGTCATATATATGTTTCACCATGTTGTATTTATTTTAGTTACTCCACCACTTAAGAATGTCAGAAAGAAAAGGTTCCGGAAAGTAACAAAAAAGGTTAGTTGCATTCCATTCATGTGTCTGCTAATGGATTAGAAGAATATGAGCAGGAAGTTTGGAATTAATTTTTCTTATTCACTGATATGTTCAATAAACATGTATTGAATATGAGCTAAATGCCAGGCACTACTGTATGCTAGCACTTAGGAACATAAGGGAGAATAAAACCAGACCTGACTCTTGAGGTTAATAGACTAGTTGTTAGGAATCTTGAAAGATTCTGAATTTGAAACTTTCACTGATGCTTTCAGTTTTTGATTGTAGGATCTAGTTTTAAAGTGAACCCATCCAGAGCCTGAGGAGTGGAAAATGGTGGTTATATACCTAACCTTACTTCAGGCTTGTAGAACTTTGGGCAGGCTGCAGGAGCACTGTGGCTTGGCTGCTGCTGCCTTTTTTTAAATTAAACTTTTATTTTGAAATAATTGTTGATCCACATGCAGTTGCAAAAAATAAGAGCTGCTGTGTACTCTTCTGTTTTCCCCATTGTAACATTTTGCAAAACTGTAGCATAGTATCACAAACAGGAAATTGACATTTTAATAGTTCACCTATCTTATTTCTCCAGTTTTACTTGTACTCCTGTGTTTGTGGTTGTTCAGTTCTATGCCATTTTATCCCATGTGAAGATCCAGGTATTCCCCTATACAGTTAACATACTAAACAGTTCTGTTATCACACGGATCCTTCTTCATGTTCTTTTATAACCGTACGCACCTCTTTCCAGCTCACATGCCCATATTCTAATACCTGGCAGTCACTAATCTGCTCTCCACCTCTGTAATTTTTGTCATTTTAAGACCATCATATAAACAGAATCATGTAGAAATCATGTAGAAAATCTGAGACCAGCTTTTCATTGTTGAATTTTGAGAGCTTTATTTTTATTCTAAATACATCTTTTGTCAGATACGTACTTTGCACATGCTTTCTCCCAGTCTATAGCTTGTCTTTTCACCCTCTTCACAGGGTCTTCTGAAGAGTGAACGTTTTTTACTTTAGATCAGGTTCAATTTACTTTCTTTTTCTTTTAAAGGTTTCTTGCTTTTCATGTTAAATCTAAAAACTTGTTACCTATCTCAGATCCTGAAGATTTTCTCCTTTTTTTTCCCCTGAAAGATTTGAACTCATATTTAGTGTTTGTGATTAATTTTTGTAGCAGGTATTAAGTTTAGTTCTGGGTTTTTATGTTTGTTTGTTTGTTGTTTTTGCCTAAGGATATCCAGCTGCTCTAGCACCATTTACTAAAAAGGCTAGACTTCCTTCATAGTATTGCTTTTTGCAGCTTTGCTAAAAATCAGTAGGGCATATTTGTGTGGGTCTATTTCTGGGTTTTCTGTTCTATTCCATTGAATCCATATATTAATCCTTCTACCAATATCACAGTGTATTTATATCATAGGTCTTGACATCAGAAGACGGATGGCTCACACTTATTTTTCCCTGTCAAGATCATGTTAGCCATTCTAGAATGTACATATTTCCATATAAATTTTAGGATAAGCATACATATGTCTACAGAAATCCTTGCTGGAACTTTTATAGGAATTGCATTAGACTTATAGATCAATTTGGGAAGAATTAACATCTTTACTATGTTGACTCTTTTATCCATGAACACAGTTGCCTTAGCTTTGTACTCTGTCAGTCAACAACATTTATTGAGTGTCTACTAAATGTAAAATTAAGAATAGTCATAGAGCTCTTTAAGCTTTACTGAAGAGCAGCAATCATAATATAACTTAATCACTTATTGTTTTTTATTTGATAGGTTGCTGATGTCAAGCAAGTCGAAGAAATCAACTCTACTGAGGTAGAGCAGTCATAAAATAACTTCCTTGTTTACCGTTACTGTGTTTTGTTTAATATCTTAATAGTTTCAGACAAATCACATGAATTATATAGTTTACTTTGAAGTGGTCCTTCTCACCTCTAACCCCTATTCCCATATACATACAGTGGATTTGATTCACTAAAATTCAACTTATTATTTAATGTCTGATAATTCCTAGGGAAAAAGATACAATTTGGTGTGTGATCATGTATATTTAGATGTGCTTTTTGTCTCTGATATTTGCTTCAAAAGCCATTCCTTGGGAGCCAGGGTTCACTTTTGCCAGCAGTTGTTTATAATTGCTTATTCCCCCTCAAAGCCCTATTTTCTATTTGTGGTATGACGCATTGGTTGCTGTGGAGATAATTGTCTAAAACTGGATTCAAGGGAGAATATGTAGCTAAAATCCAGTTTTTGTAGGAACGTCTATAATAATAAAGATGAGGGGAAGTGAAATCTGGAAATTTGGATCTTTAAGTGATTTCTTTCTTTCTTTCTTTTTTTTGAGATTTTTGCCTTAGGGAATGTGTACTCACCAGAGAGAGACAGAGACAGTAGAAGGGAAAGTGAGAAATTACCCACCCCCCCCGGAGGGGTGGCCATGCCACAATCCCTTCTCCTCCATTCTCTTCCTGGTATCTTGGGCACACATGCACACAGGCCTAGCATGAGTTTCACCACTGGGTCCAGGACTTGAACTGCAGTTGACCATCTGAGAGTCTAGTGATGTAACTGCTCCACCATCTGCTGGCCCAAATTAAGTGATTTCTAAATAACTAAGGAGAATTATAGTTCTTAGCCAATATGAACCAGGATAAATAATAACTGAGAACTAAGGGTTGCACCTCTGAGAGAGGTCTTCACCATAGAGTTACAGATTGAACAGGCTAAGTGTCTTGAAAAATTTGTTTAATTGGGAAAAATAAATAAGCTGACCTACAAAAATCTTGACCCTGGTTAAAGATGCCTTTATGAATAATACTACTTAAAGGAGAAATTTGGTTGGATGGGCATCTAATGAGGCCTAACCATTTGTATTCATTGGTATTTAGGAAAAGAACATTTCTACAGAAAACAAGGAGTTAAGTGACAGCCCTGTTATCCCCCCTGAGGATACTTCTCCTGAGTGCATTGAATCACCAGAAGTGGAAAAAGAAGTGAAGAGACTACTGTGCTCAGATGCTGAAGCTGCCAGTGCTCGTATCCTTTATATTACATGTTTTCTGTATAGTCTCTTCCACTTTTAACGTGTGGAATTTAATATTTTGGGGAATGTTACAATTCTATCTAGGAACAGTGTATTCATGTAATAGAAATTTATTTAGTTAGATGATTTCAACATAAGGCATTTGTCCAAACTAGGACTTCAGATACAAATGACCTAAAGTTGGACTGAATGAAATGGTGTTTTTAACCAAGGGGCTTCTTCTCTTTCTTCCTTTTTTTTTCTGTGTTTTCCTTAACTGCCCCTCCTTTCAGGATGGGAAGTCATTGCTGAAGATGAAACCAAGGAAATTGAGAGTCAAGGCACCATTCCAGGCTTTCCGATATACCCAGGAATGAGTGGCTACAAGCAAGGTAATAACTCATCGGGTACCTTGGTTAAAGGCAAAGCAGGCGCTTCAGATAGGATAGGTGTTGATAGTAATTGCCAGCTTATTAGTTGCTTTTGGAGGAATGGAGCCCCGGGGTTCCCTACTGTACCATTTTCTGTGGCATCACTTAACAAATACAGTTATCATAAACTTTTGATTAGTTTCCAGAGTTCTGATAATGTGATTTTGACAGTGTTTCTATTTATTTTCTTCTGTGAAGGGATAGACTTTTTAAAATTTTGCCAGAGGGCATGAGTGTTCAGAGAGAGGGGGGGGGAGTGAGGGAGGGGGAAAAAGCAC